CCGAGTGCAGAGTTTAGTGTTGAGTGCAGACCCTGGTGCCGAGTGCAGAGGGGATTTCCAACGGCGGGCTAGGTGCCGAGTGCAGAGTTTAGTGTGGAGTGCAGAGGTGGGCGTGGCAAAGCTAGATGCTGAGTGCAGATTCTGGTAACATAATTTCAGGCGTGGAGAGGGTTGGGAGAGGGTTGGGCGTGTCCGAGCTCCCAGCGAGGCAACCGACCTTACGCCCAGCTGTCCCATCTGCTTCCTTCCCTACAGGCACTCCAGTCGGCTGGTGCACGTGTGCTCGTGTGTGGGTGGGGCTGAGGTCTGGGTGTACCGGGGACTCCACGAGGGATCCCTCTTTGCAGGGATGGTGCCTTTGGCGAATTATTTAATTCAATTGATGTTTGTTAAGATATTGATTAAGCCCCTTCTGGATACTTGGCCCTAGGGAATGATTCCCTGACCTCATGGAATTTGCATTGTAGCCGGGGAGGCAGACAAGGAGCAGATAAAAGGGCAGTCAGAGCGCAGTCACAGCTCTGAAGAAAAGCTACAGGGTGATGAGAGGACCATGACGGGGGGGGGGGGGGGGGGGGGGGGGGGGGGGGGGGGGGGGGGGGGGGGGGGGGGGGGGGGGGGGGGGGACTCTGCTGGGAAGACCTTTGACCGGGGCCTGAATGATGGAGAGCGAGGCACATGAAGAACTCACAAAAGCATCGTAGGCAGGGAGTTGGTAAGTGCAAAGGCCCCAGGGCATGTCAAGGGCACAAGGAAGGCCACTGGGGCTGGAGCCTAGAGAGTGAGGGGCAGCTTGACAGGCGAAGAGCCCCAGGCACCAGCAATGTCATCACCTGGGAGCTTCTTAGAAATGCAGGCTGAGGCCCGGCACGGTGGCTCACTCCTGGAATCCCAGCACTTTGGGAGGCCGAGGTGGGCGGATCACCTGAGGTCAGGAGTTCAAGACCAGCCTGGCCAATGTGGCGAAACCCTGACTCTACTAAAAAAAGTACAAAAATTAGCCGGGCGTGGTGGTCGGCGCCTGTAATCCCAGCCACTAGGGAGGCTGAGGCAGGACAGTTGTTTGAACCTGGCCAGGAGGCGGAGGTTGCAGTGAGCCGAGATCGTGCCACTGCACTTCAGCCTGCGTGACAGAGTGAGACTCCATCTCAAAAAAAACAAACAAAAAAAAAGAAGTGCAGAGTGAAATCCCCAGCCTAAGAGCTGCTAAAACAACCTTTATTATTTATTTATTTATTTATTTTTTGAGATGGAGTCTCCTGGGTTCAAGTAGTTCTCTGCCTCAGCCTTCCAAGTAGCTGGGATTACTGGCACCCGCCACCACGCTGGGCTAATTTTTGTATTTTTCATAGAGATGAGGTTTCACCTTCTTGGCCAGGCTGGTCTTGAACTCCTGACCTTGTGATTCACCCGCCTCGGCCTCCCAAAGGGGCATGAGCCACTGTGCCTGGTGAAAGAGTATTTTTTAAATAAGATCCCAGGTGATCTATGAGAATTATTTCCGAGTATCTCGTTTTATAGATGGGGAGACTGAAACCCAGAGAGAGGAAGGGATTTCCTAGAGTGATGGAGCTGAAAGCCCTGCCCTGCCCTGGTGCCCCTCCCGACTGCAATTTACCAGGAAGGCTGTCTGACTTCTTGGGAGGTTGAGAGTGAGCCGGGTATGATGTATAGAGGGGTCTGCGTTGAGCACATTGTGCAGGATTGGTGTCCTCTGCAAAGCTGCCCAGGTGTTAGCCTGCCTCAGGCCTCTCCTCTTCTGGAGCCAAGGGGCGGCCAGCTCCCAGCCCGGTAGCCTCTCTTTGAGGGGAAGGTGGTGGTTCCCTGGCGCACCACCATCAGGAGGAGACGGTCCCCTCGGCAGGCAATTGTCAACACACCCTGGAGGCAACTGTTTTGAGTGGTGAGGGTGCAGGTGTCTGGGGGCAGTGACAGAACTTAGCTGGCTCCCAGGTGGATCCCCCTGGGGCATTGCCTCATCCATTTCCCCAGAGGGATAGATACTGTGGAGTGGGGAGACACCCCATCATTCTCCTGGGAGTTGTATCTCCTGCCCATCCCCAACTGTTCTATCCATATGCAGGTGCAGTTAGGAGAGCAAGGCAGCCCGGCACATTCCTGAGTGTTTGGGGCAGGGCTGAGTGAAACAACGTCCAGCTTTCTGGGCCAGCCCTCACAGGCCCGTGTGACCCCAAACATTTGAGTGTGTGAAGTGTGCCCTCTGGGAGACACTAAGTTGGGGAGATTTTTGGAGAATTGAAGTGGAGATGTTCCTGAGCCCCAGGACTTGTCCGATTTCTCTAACTTCCAGCTGCTGGAGGGCAGGGAGGTTGTCCTGTTCCTCACTGGGTCGCCACCAGGCAGGCCTTCATCAGCTGGGCGGGCTGTGTGGATGGTAGAGCTGATGTCATAGTGTGGCATCAGGAGTCTGTGAGTGCCTTGGGCATGAGGCTTCATGTCTTTCCGTTTTCTCATCTGTAGAATGGGCTTACTAATTTCTACTTCATTTAGTGGGGTTTTATTTTTGGTGGCAGATTAAATGACTGAATTAAGCACTGAATAAACAAAGAAGTTGTTAATGTAGATAGCAGCGGTGCCATGAGATGGCTGGGGGCAGTGCTGTGAGCCCAGAAGAGGAAGAAATCCTGCCCAAGTGAAGTAGTCAGGGCAGGCTTCTTGGAGGAGGTGTCTCACAAGTCAGGCATGAAGAAGGGCAGAAGGTGGTGGAGCAGGGGCTTCCCTGGTGCAGGCGGAGAAGGGTGGTGAGTGGGAGGTCTTGGGTGATCTATGAGGAACTGAGCCCAGCTGGTTGAGGTCAGGAGCTGGTGGGGCTGGCAGTGAAGAAGGTGGCACAGTTGGCCCTGCAAGGCAGATGGAGCTGCTTTCTGTTGTCCAAGAACGTGCCGGGGCTGCTCCGGATCCACAGAGTGTGTTCCGTTTCATCGCCTTGTGCTCCCACCCCTGGGAGCTGTGGATCCCAGATCCAGATGACAGCCCGTCTTGCTGGCAGGATGCCACCATCCCCTGGGCCTGAGGAATAACAGCATCCCTGACGAGCAGATCACGGCCTCCAGCAGCTACCGGAACTGGGGCTTGCACTTCTTCAGCTGGGACCCCTCCTATGCGCGGCTGGACAAGCAGGGCCACTTCAACGCCTGGGTGGCCGGGAGCTACGGCGGCGATCAGTGGCTGCAGGTGGGTCGGCCCCGCCTGGGACGCAGGCGTGGGGCTGGGTGGGATGAGGCCGGCCTGCCAGGTCTGACCTCCCCCTGCCCAGGCTTCTGCTCCCCAAAGAGTTCTAGAAAAGCCGTGTTTTTCTTCAGCTGTTCTTTCTTCTTCCCACCTGTACCCCCTTCTCCTGATCCTGCTTCCACCAAGGTGGAGAAAGGGTGTGTATGTGTGTGTGTGTGTGTGTTTGTGTGTGAATATGTGTGTGTGTGTGTGTTTGTATGTACGTATGTGTGTGTGTGTGTGTGTGTGTGTATGTGTGTTTGTGTGTGTGTTTGTGTTTGTGTGTGTGTGTGTGTGTATACGCAGGAGGAGAGCCGCTCCATGGACTGCACAGGGTTGACAAGGCTCAGCCTGTGGACAGCAGGGTGGAGATATCTTAGAACCTCTCCCCTTGAGCACAGCGTAGGGGACTGTGTCTAAGAAGCCACCATGTGACAGCCCTTGTCTGTCACTGAAACTGGGAAACAAAAGAGTCATGAAAACCAGGGCTGGTTTTGTAGGTGCGGAAACTGAACTGGCAGGACGGCGCTCTGCTTAGTGCCCACCTGCTGGCTGGCAGTGAGTTGGGTTGGCACCCGGATGTTGGGGAATTGGCGTGTCCAGGCGCAGCTGGCAGGCTCTCCAGGGAGGTCAGGGACTGGGGGCAGGAGACCTGGCTTAGGGCCCCATGGGGCACACTGCGGAGGTGGGTTCCATGAGGAGCTGCCAGCCTGGAGACGCCCTCAGGACCAGAGTCAGACTGTGAGCAGCACTGCAGGGAGCCTCCAGAGCGGCTCATGCCCTTCTAGGCTGTGGCCTTTCCTGTCCCTCTTCCCATCACACCGCAGTGTAGGTCTCAGGGAGGAGTTGGTGTGGGGTTGGCCAGGGCTCAGACTCTGTGAGCTCTGTAGCAGTGAGGTGCCTAACACCACGTATGGCAAAGTAGGTGGTATTATTTATGCTCCTTTTTTATATTCTGAGACAGTCTTGCTCTGTCAACCAGGCTGGAGTGCAGTGGAGCAGTCTCAGCTCACTGCAACCTCTGCCTCCTGGGTTCAAGCCATTCTCCTGCCTCAGCCTCCCTAGTAGCTGGGAATACAGGCACCTTCCATCATGTCCAGCTAATTTTTTGTATTTTTAGTAGACATGGGGTTTTACCATGTTGGCCAGGCTGGTCTCGAACTCCTGACCTCAGGTGATCCACCCACCTTGGCTTCCCAGAGTGTTGGAATTACAGGTGTGAGCCACCACATCTGGCCTTATGCCCATTTTATAACTGAGGAAACTGAGGCTCAGCCAAGTGGCTTTTTTTCAAAACTAGAATTCATGCCTCAGTGTGTCTGCCTCTTTTCACCTAACTGGAGATGGTCCAAGCAGAGAAAAGGTGATTGGTTTCTTCTGTAGGTGGACCTGGGCTCCCCAAAGCAGGTGACGGGCATCATCACCCAGGGGGTCCGTAACTTTGGCTCCGTCCAGTTTGTGGCATCCTACAAGGTGGCCTACAGTAATGACAGCATGGATTGGACTGAATACCAGGACCGCAGGACTGGCAGCAGCAAGGTGGGTGTCCGTCCAGCTGCCCACCCCTTGCCATGCCGCCATGACTTTCCTGGGAGCCTGGCCTGGGGCCTTGAGGGGAGTGGGCTGGCTCTGGGGTCCTCCTGACAGCCCCTCTGCCTCTAGATCTTCCCTGGCAACTGGGACAACCACTCCCACAAGAAGAACCTGTTCGAGACGCCCATCCTGGCGCGCTACGTGCGCGTCCTGCCAGTGGCCTGGCATAACCGCGTCGCCCTCCGCCTGGAGCTGCTGGGCTGTTAGTGGCCACCTGCCCCCCAGGTCTTCCTGCTTTCTGCCGGCCTGCCGCCTCCTGCCTCGTCAGCCCCTTTAAATCATCTTGGGGCTGGGGACTGGGGAGGGGATGGTATTCAAAGTTAGCGTGGTCACCTCTCCCTCCCTCCCTCTCTCCCTCCCTCCCTCTTCCTCACCCTCCACCTCTCATGGGTCCTGGCCCCAGCCCCTAACCCCCAGCCCCTAACCCCCAGCCCCTAATCCTCAGTCCCTAACCCCCAGCCCCTAATCCTCAGTCCCTAACCCCCAGCCCCTAACCCCCAGCCCTCACCAGCTTGTTTTCTTAGGCACTGAGGGAGCTGAGTAGATCTGGGACTGACAGAGAAGGGCAAAGTAGGGCGTGTGGTTTCCCTGCCCCCGTCCAGACCCCTGATCCCAGTCTCATGTGTCTCTGCTCTCCTAGCCCCTCTCCCACATATCACGTTCCCATGGTGACCTCAAGAAAGGCCCGCAAGTGCCAGGCTGGAGATAATAGCCTCTTGCCCATCAGCCCTGGGGTACCATGTGGCCACAACTGCTGTTGCCCTCTGCCCCATGACACTTCCCCTTGTCTCCCTGGAGACCTCTCTTGTCGCTTGTCCTGAAGCCCAGTGAGACAGAAGCGGGCGGGGCAGGTCTACGGGTAGATAAGGGAGCGAGGTCAGAGGAGGGTGCGGGTTAGCAGGGTGGGCATTCGGGGCCCTCTGTGCTGGCTCTCCACCCCAGAGGACACAGGCAGCTTCCAAAATATATTAATCTTTTTCACGGGAACTCTTGGTGTGGTTCGTTCTTGTTTCATGGGAATGGGACGTAATTTGTGCTGGTTTCCCCACCGCCCACCTGTGTTCTTCTCTGAGCCCCGGCTTGCTTTCTGTCACCTGCCTGACCACAGATAACTTCATAGGAGGTGGTGGGTGACTGTGATCCACGGTGGCCTGGAGGGAGTCAGGTCCTCAAATCCTAACTTTCCTTCTTCCCTCTGCTTTCTACCTCCATGCCTGTCTGGCTCTGGGACCCACAGCCGCTGCCTGGTCAGGGGCCCAGCGAGCACCTGGCAGCGCTGTCTCCTGAATGCCTTCGCTCCCTTCCTGCCAGGAAGACAGACCAGGCTGGGGCAGCTGGTTTTCCCCTTCAGCAGTTTCCATTCTCTCTGCAACTGGAGTGGGGCTGGAGAAACTATCAGAAATCCAGTGAACCTGTGCGCCTTCAGACGGTTTTGGGTGGGTGCAGCGTGGGACTGGAGGAGGAGCCAGGGCTCTGCCAAGTGGGCACGAGGCCTCCTGGCTGAACACACTGGTTCCTGGTAGGCCACTGGCCTGTGTGCTCTAGGGGTACCCTCGCTGCTCCCCCCTGTGTGGGGGCCATCAAGAAGTCGGGGTGGGCCATGCAGGCCAGTGTCCTGCTGATCTGGGAGGGTGACTTGCAGTCAGAGGCTTGAAAAAAACCACCCTGGTCTTCAAGGTGAATTTTTCCAAACTTTGGGAGCTGTCCTGTGCTCTGCAGGCGGGGGGTGCTTCTGAGCAACAGGAGGTGGTGCCACAGGACTGCCAAAGGGAGGGCGTGGCTTTGCTGGAACCACACCAGGGAAATGCACAATGGCTCCTTTCTGAGACCTAGCGATGCTGGGCTACCGGGCCTGGCAGGGTTGGAATAAAAGGTCCAGGCAGTGGTCTTCCTAGGAACTGAGGATGGGGGACGCCGTTCTTCTGGGGGTCCCTTGACCTACTGCTTCCTGTTTTCAAGCTCTCTTCTGTGGAGCAGTGTGCATTGAGTTTTGAGCCATGTCTTTCTGGGTGCCTTCGAGCCTCAGGACTCCTTCCCGGGGGCATTTCCTGCCCTGAACCCCTGTTCCAGCCTCCCCTCAGGATGAGCAGACAGTGGGAGAAGCATCTCTGCTTTGGGGTCGGTTGGCCACAGCCTTCTGAAAGTCCCCCTCCTGGGACCCTGGAGCAGAGTCCCTTCACTCCTGAGCCCCTCCTTCCTTCCTTGGCTTCTCTCCCTCAACAACGTCTTCCATTTGTCTTCCATCTTACCATCACTCCTGCACATTGACGTTTTCTGCCCGACTGCAAGGCAGAGGGTGACTGTTAAGATTCCACCTGCTGGCTGCCCCTACCCTGGCTGGCATGTTCAACTCCACTTACTGTAACCAAATGGGCTCTCCCTGCTGTCCATCCTCTCCCCCGTCGGGAATCTGCAGAGGACCCTTCCCTGGCTCCCCTTTGCCCATCAAGCCTGGCATTCCTTTTAGGTTCTGTCTACCTGTTAATCACAGTTCTTTGTGCTCTGACTTGCCCCTGGCTGTGTGTAACACACACACATGCATGCACACGTGCACGCACACACACACTCATGGGCCACCTTGGGCTGTGTTAAGAGGCTCTGGGCTATGCGACCCTGTGATCCTGTGAGCCTTCGACCCTTCCCCTAGCCAAAGCTGAAGGACCTCCTTAGTCTTTGCTGCTGACAAAACATCAGGCAGTACAGGCCAGGGACCCCATTGGTCTGGACAGGAAAGAAAACAGCCTGTCCAAACAGAGGCATCCTGAACTGCTGCCTGGATGGTGGTGCTGATAACCGAATTCCAAAGGGAGGCCCACCCCTGTTGGGGGACCACTCAGAAGCCTGATTGCCCCTGCAGGCTGCAGAGACATTCGATCCTGTGGTTCCCTCCCAGCCAGGGACACTCATTCAAGCCCCATGTCCCGAGGATAGCACCTGCTGTGTGCCTTACAGTGAGTTAGGAATCTGGCCAGTGTTTCATCATGGCCAAACTCAGGGGCAGGAGGATGTCAGCAACCTTGCTTTTTTTTTTTTTTTCTTTTTTGAGATAGAGTTTTGCTCTTGTTGCCGAGCCTGGAGTGCAATGGCATGATCTTGGTTCACCGCAGCCTCTACTTCCTGGGTTCAAGTGATTCTCCTGCCTCAGCCTCCCCAGGATTACAGGCATGCTCCACCACTCCCGGCTACTTTTTTTTTTTTGAGACGGAGTTTCACTCTTGTTACCCAGGCTGGAGTGCAATGGCGCGATCTCGGCTCACCGCAACCTCCGCCTCCTGGGTTCAGGCAATTCTCCTGCCTCAGCCTCCTGAGTAGCTGGGATTACAGGCACGCGCCACCATGCCCAGCTAATGTTTTGTATTTTTAGTAGAGACGGGGTTTCATCTCTTGACCTCGTGATCCACCCGCCTCGGCCTCCCGAAGTGCTGGGATTACAGGCGTGAGCCACCGCGCCCGGCTCCATTGCTTTCTATTGGGAAAAGAAAGAAATACGGAAGTCTCACCTCTTCCACATTCAAAGGTGGGGAGCAGCCTTAGCAGGTAGCAGAATGCTGGACAGTGGCTTCCTTGCTTACTCCCACTGTTTTTGGCAAACTAGGCTTTCAAAGGGGATCCCCCTCCCCAAACGTTCCTACTCCACCCCTACTCTCCTTTCCCAAGGCGTGAAATCATCAACTCTCGCACACCGCCTTTGCGGGGGTTCCCAGCGAGTCTGGAGGCCGCTCAAGTCTGCAGCAACTCGTCCCTTCGTGCCCAGTCCTTGGGAGGGAAAGGCGCTCGTGTTCCTTTAAGGGGTTGGTCCAGCGGGAGCGCTGGGGCTTGTCTGCTGCCGCTTCCTTTCTGGCCTTTTAAGCTTCCCAAATCCGACTGCCGCCTTGGACCGGGGCAGCTCGCGCCCCTGAGCGCCCTAGCTGTCGAGGAGCCGCCTGGGGACGGTACGTGGCTCCGGGGTCGCCGGGCTTCTGGGGCTGTGTGCGGGCTGGGTTCCTCCCTCCCACTTTGGGTGCCCTCCGGGTCCTCCCGGGCAGGGTCGGGGACGCGGCAGGAGGCGTGGGCTGGGCACTGCGGAGGCCGGGCTGAGATGGGCTGTGATCGCCGGCGAGGGGCGCCTGGGGCACAGGTGGGGTGAGAGCTGCGCGGGGTCGCGGGCGGACTCGCGTGGGACCCTCGTGCCCACCGCGAGGGCGCAGAGCCCGAATGGATCCCGTGACCTCCGAGACCACCGTCCAGCCCCAATCCCCTTTCCGCCGGGGGCCGCTCGGCGCCCTCCCGTGTCGTGTGTGCTCCAGTGCCGTCCGCGGCGCCCCAGCCTGCTCCTGGGCATCTGTGAATAATCCGGGGGCAGGGAGCCCTGCGAGGCTGCGCGCGGCAACCTGCGCCTCCGGACCGCGGCGGGCCCGATCTGGCAGCCCCGGGGGCAAACGCAACGGATGCCTCTGGGTTCCAGGCCTCGCTCACCGGGGTTCCTGCCCCAGCCACAGCGAGGCCAGAAGGGCAGGGAGGGTGGAGGGTAGAACCCTGGGTGGGGATGGCGACCCCTAGGGAGGAACGGAGGCGCGTGCGCCGCCAGGATGGAAACAGCGCGGCACTTGGACTCAGTCCCGCCGCCAGCCCGCTGGGTGGCCGCAGGCAGCCTGTGACCCTGTCCGGACGTCGGTGCCCAGCGCCGACCCTCGGGAGCACCTGTGCCCCCTGCAGCAGCGGGGTGGCGATTGAGAGGGCCCCGGCTCCTCTCCTGCGGCGCTGCCTGGGCCCGCTGCTGGGCATGCTGGTAGGAAACGCGTCCCGCTTTCGTTTTCCTGGGGGCCGGGTGTCAAAGGCGCCCGTCAAGCCTTGTCCAAACAGGGACACGGATGTCAGATTTCTCGCTGGGAGCCACGCTCGGGCAGGCTTCGCGGGCGATGCTGCCTCCGCTTGGGACCTGGGGGACTTGTGCTCCCGGCAGCCCAGTGCCGATGTGCACCTGACGGGGAGGTGGCACCCACCCTCCCTCCAAACCCAGGCTCAGCTTACTATTCTTAGGTGGAGGCGTCCCTAGGGAAGAGGGGCCTGGGAAAAGCAAAGGGCTGGCCGTCAACTTTCTCTAAGTTCTAGATATTTGACAAAAACAATGCCTCACTGACCTCCACTCTTGGCCTCGATTTCCTCAACTGTGAAGAGGAGACAGTGGTGACCACTTTCTCTCTAGGCAGTGAGAGAGGAGGAAGAGCCACTGAGCGGGCGTACGACGTCACCGTGCCAGCTGCTCACAGGTGTAGCTGCAGGTCATATTCTCCCCGCGCTTGCTCCTTACCAAGCAGTTTCTAAGTGCTCTGCAGGTATTGTCTCCCTTCATCTTCACAAAAGTGTTTTCTGGTTAGTATTGTCGTCACCCCCGTTTTTTTTTTTTTTTGAGATGGAGTCTTGCTCTTGTTGCCCAGGCTAAAGTGAAATGGTGCGATCTCAGCTCACTGCGACCTCTGCCCCCCATGTTCAAGGGATTCTGCTGCCTCAGCCTCCCGAGTACCTGGGATTACAGGTGCTCACCACCACATTCAGCTAATTGTTGAATTTTTAGTAGAGATGGGGTGTCTCCATGTTGGCCAGGCTGGTCTCGAACTCCTGACCTCAGGTGATCTGCCCACCTCAGCCTCCCAAAGTGCTGGGATTACAGGCATGAGCCACCATGCCCAGCTTGTGACCCCCATTTTACAGATGAAGAAACTGAGGCTCAGAGAGGTGCAGTGACTTGTCCCATGACAGAGGGTTAGTATGTGGGTGGAGCCAGAACTGAATCCAGGTGGCCAGTCTCCTTCTAGAGCCTGAAATCTTTGCCATGTTCATTTGTTGAGCACCTGCTACATGCCATAATCGTCACCACAGCCCATCAAGTTCCCTGTGTGTGTGTGTGTGTGTGTGTGTGTGTGTGTGTGATGGAGTCTTGCTCTGTCAGGCAGGCTGGAGTGCAGAGGCACCATCTTGGCTTACTGCCTCACTGCAACTTCTGCCTCCCAGGTTCAAGCAATTCTCCTGCCTCAGGCTCCCTAGTAGCTGGGATTACAGGCACCTGCCACTACACCCAGCTAATTTTTGTATTTTCAGTAGAGGCTTAGAAGGGGGTTTCACCATGTTGGCCAGGCTGGTCTCGAACTCCTGACCTCAGGTGATCCACCTACCTCGGCTTCCCAAAATGCTCTGGGATTACAGGTGTAAGCCACCATATCCAGTCTTAAGTTTCTTTTTTTTTTTTGAGACGGAGTTTCACTCATGTTACCCAGGCTGGAGTGCAATGGCGCGATCTCGGCTCACCGCAACCTCCGCCTCCTGGGTTTAGGCAATTCTCCTGCCTCAGCCTCCTCAGTAGCTGGGATTACAGGCACGCGCCACCATGCCCAGCTAATATTTTGTACTTTTAGTAGAGACAGGGTTTCACCATGTTGACCAGGATGGTCTCGATCTCTTGACCTCGTGATCCACCCGCCTCAGCCTCCCAAAGTGCTGAGATTACAGGCTTGAGCCACCGCGCCTGGCCTTTTTTTTTTTTTTTTTAACAGATGAGGAAATGGAGGCACAGAGAGTTGAACTTGCCAGAAGTAACTCAGCAGGATGCAGTGTGTCCTGCTCCAATACCGAGCCCAGGTCTGAGTGCCCAGGCAGGACTCCAGCTGATTCGGGGAGCTATCTACTGCCAAGGGGACTGGGCTGGACTTGGTCTTGGGCCTTCCAGCTGGTGGCACCTCTGCGGTGGTCCTGAGGAGTTGGTGGGTGGATAGCCAGGGTAGGGGAGCGGAGACTGCCCATCCTTCGCCTCAGATGGTCAGAGATGGGCCTGGGGCAAGGCAGCAACTAAGTGGCAACTGCCACTCCCGACTCCACTCAGGACCCTGTCCTGTGCATCAACTTTAGCATTCAAGGCTATGCTTGTCTTTACCCTGAGTTCCCGTTTAGTCTTCTCGGGAGAGAGGAAGTTTTCTGTTCAGAGAGGTCAAATGACTTTCCCAGGATCACCCAGCTAGCAGGTGGCAGAGCCAAGACCCAAACTCAACGACTTTAACGTGAAACCTTGGGCCTTGTGTGCTGCTCCTCTCTCAGAGAGCGCTGGAAAACGACCAGCTTTCTCCTGGGTTGTCATTCTTGGGTACAGGGCTGATCTTTTCTTCATAATTCCTTTTTTATTTTTTCTTTTTCTTTTCTTTTTAAGATGCAGTTTTGCTCTTGTTGCCCAGGCTGGAGCACAATGACATGATTTTGGCTCACTGCAACCTCCACCTCCCAGGTTCAAGCAATTCTCCTGCCTCAGTCTCCCGAGTAGCTGGGATTACAGGTGCATGCCACTACGCCTGGCTAATTTTTGTATTTTTAGTAGAGATGGAGTTTCACCTTGTTAGCCAGTCCAGTCTCGAACTCCTCAGGTGATCCACCCACCTTGACCTCCCAAAGTGCTGGGATTATAGGCATGAGACCCCGTGCCCAGCCCAAGTTTGAATCTTATAATTCTACCTCTTAGTAGCTGTGTGGCCTTGGGCAGGGAACTGTTCAAAGTAGGACACGCCTGTAATCCCAGCTACTCAGGAGGCTGAGGCACAAGAATCACTTGAACCCAGGGGGCAGAGGTTGCAGTGAGCCAAGATCGTGCCACTGCACTACAGCCTGGGTGATAGAGCAAGACTGTCTCAAAAAATTTTTAAAAAAGGCTGGGCGCGGTGGCTCACGCCTATAATCCCAGCACTTTGGGAGACCGAGGCGGGTGGATCTCGAGGTCAGGAGATCGAGACCATCTGGTCAACATGGTGAAACCCCGTCTCTACTAAAAATACAAAAATTAGCTGGGCATGGTGGCGCATGCCTGTAGTCCCAGCTACTCGGGAGGCTAAGGCAGGAGAATTGCCTGAACCCAGGAGGCGGAGGTTGCGGTGAGCCGAGATCGCGCCATTGCACTCCAGCCTGGGTAACAAGAGCGAAACTCTGTCTCAAAAAAAGAAAAAAAAAAATTTTTTTTTTAAATTATTTTTGACCTTACTGGGTGCGATGGCTCCCGTCTTTAATCCCAGAGCTTTGGGAGGCCAAGGTGGGTGGATCACTTGAGGTCAGGAGTTCGAGACCAGCCTGGCCAACATGGCAAAACCCTGTCTCTACTAAAAATACAAAACATTAGCTGGGCATGGTGGCGCGTGCCTGTAATCCCAGCTACTCAGGAGGTTGAGGCAGGAGAATTGCCTGAACCCAGGAGGCGGAGGTTGCGGTGAGCTGAGATTGGGCCATTGCACTCCAGCCTGGGTAACAAGAGCAAAACTCCGTCTCAAAAAAAAAAAATAAAAAAAGAACTACATTTTACATTGTGACCTTCTACCTCACCTCCCACAGACGTTTGTGGACTGGAACAAAAGTTTCTCAATGCAGGGTTCGTCTTAATGTACCATATATGCGCCCTCAGAGTTTCTATTCTAGTCTAGTTTATTTGGTGTCATTAAAAGTCGCTTCTCACAACCTTTCAAATTCAAACCTCTGGCTTGAAAAACATTAAGGCTGTCAGATTGTCCTGCTTACTTTTCTCTACTGTCTTTTAGCTGCCTGCTACTGCCTTCTTCTGATTTGTCTGCTTATTGCCCGTCTTGCCTTTGGGGTGCCGCTCCCTGAAAGCAGGACCGTCATCCAGCTTGCCCCTGCTGTCTTCTCGGCTCCGGGAACAGTGTCTGGCACGCAGGCTTGAAGGTGTCCCGCACGCAGGCTGAGGTGTCCCGCACGCAGGCTGAAGGTGTCCTGCACGCAGGCTGAGGTGTCCCGCAGTGAGCAGTCGAGCAAGTGAGTGAGCGGTGCTGAAGCGGAGGGGTGCAGCCTCGCTGCCCGGCTTTTCTAGCTGCCTTGTTTTCCTCCTCTCCCCAATTTGCCCAGGGGCCCCAACCTGGCCCAGATCACCCTGGCATGAGGAGATGGGCCTGCTGCTCCTGGTCCTGCCGCTCCTGGTCCTGCCGCCCCTGCTGCCTGGTGCCTACGGACTGCCTTTCTACAATGGCTTCTACTATGCCAACAGCGCCGATGACCAGAACGCAGGCAATGGCCACGGCAAAGGTAGGCGACATCCCACGCACAGCTCTTTGCTCCCCTGGGTGATCTAGACCTCCCCGGCTCCTGCTGCGATCTGTGGGTTCCAGGCGGGGACAGGGACATGGCCTGATGCAGCAGCCATGTCCCAGCAGGCCCCTTGTAGTGGACCAGCGTGCCTAAGACAGAGGAAGGGGTGATTTAGTTTCCCTGTGTTGCCAGCCCCTTAGTCATGGGGCCCAATTCACTTAGGCTTTTTACTTTTCCTAAAAGTCTTGCCAGTTGTTCAGGGTCAAGCTTAAATGTGTCCTCCCCTGGTCCCCCCAGTGGAAAGGGGGCGTGGGGTCAAATAGATGTGAGTTTGAATCTTTTTTTTTTGTTTTTTTGAGAGTCTCTGTTGCCCATGCTGGACTGCAGTGGCATGATCTCCACTCACTGCAACCTCTGCCTCCTAGGTTCAAGCAATTCTGCCTCAGCCTCCTGAGTAGCTGGGATTACAGGTGTGTGCCACCACGCCTGGCTAACTTTGTATTTTTAGTAGCAATGGGGTTTCACCTTGTTGGCCAGTCCAGTCTTGAACTCCTCAGGTGATCCACCCACCTCGACCTCCCAAAGTGCTGGGATTATAGGCATGAGCCCTCGTGCCCAGCCCGAGTTTGAATCTTATGATTCTACCTCTCAGTAGCTGTGTGGCCTTGGGCAGGGAACTGTTTAAAGTAGCAGTTATTGTGCACCCATCATGGGCTGGGCATGCTTCTAGATACTTTGCATATGTCATCTATAAAAATCACAAAAGCCCTGAGGTAGGCAAGGGTGAAAATACACACTTTTTTTTTTTTTTTTTTTTTTTTTTTTTTTTTTTTTTTTTTTTTTTTTTTTTTTTTTTTTTTTTTTTTTTTTTTTTTTTTTTT